TCTTTGCTAGTAAGGACTTGAGACAGGAATGGGTTCATTTATTCCCAAGTGACAAATGAGCAAGGGATGTTTCTAAAAAGTGAAAGGTAAACTGCTTCCTCTTCACATTAAGCATTGATTTGCTCTGTGGTTTTGCAGGTCCAGGATGTGTATAATGTCTGGTCTTAGAGGATCCAGTCACAATCTTGCATCAGAATTGCTGCTTGGTTGATTTTTTTTTTTTGATTGCTAAAATATAGCAAGTTGCCTGTTTTTCACTCTATGGCATAAGCAAGCAAACTTAGTCACATCCCAAGATACACCTGTATTTAGATTTGGTTTCCTATCTGAATAACTTATGTCCTCCAGCTTCCTCAAGTCTATCAAGCACGATAGACTTGCAGACTTACTCATACTCTTCTAGATGAACTGGATTCCCAAAAGCAAAACCTAATATTTAGGATGCTATCTACATTTGTAACCCTCATGTAAACTTGGTCTGTTAATTGTACCAGTGGTTGGGCTACGGTGATACATGGCTATTGTTGTACGGGGCTTCATTGGTAACAGGGGTGGTTATGGACGCTATTTTGAAGTACTGTAAGTAAAGTACTTTATTCTTTTAGGCAAGTAGTTAGAATTAAAAATGAAGTACGCGTTTTTGTGTGGACTGTGAAATGTACTTCAAATAAACTTTTTAACAAAATCTTTTTAGGCAAAGAAGTACTGCAATTTCAGCTGAATGAAATAATTGTTAGGTAGAATTCTAAATTTGGACTACTGAATTGTACCTAACAGTTATTTTCGTTCAGCTGGAATTACAAGTACTTCTTCCCAGTTCTATCTGCTTAGAGTCTATAGGGTTATAGTAAACTCTTGATACTCCTGAGTAATATCTACTTCCATCCCTTGAGGTTTGGATAACATGATTCTAGTAAATGTGGATTAAATGTTTTGGGATAGAAGTTAGACAGGATTTCTTCCTCCCCCCCCCCCCAAAAAAAGAAGTAAAAATAAATGTTACTGTGTCTGCAAGCTCTCTCATCTTTGTGAATGTGAGTGCACTAACTTCATGCTGAACAAAAACAGGTTATCGTTGTAGCCTCTGCACTACAGTATGTTGCCACCAGATAGAGCTCATGCTGGTCTACGTAATAACGCATAATCGCTTTTTGCAAGAGTTTGCATTGAAAGCTTCTGTTTCAACAGTTTCTGGAGGAAAATATAATTTTTGAGTTTAGTCTTTTAACAAATAATAAAAAGGTCTTTTTTCTTTCCTGGTATTCTCATTGGCAGGAAGTGAAATATAGTGAATGAATGAGTGTCATTGTGCCGTAGTATTCCTTCTTCCTGATTTATGACATGTTTTCCCACTCTTCAGGAGAAAAATGAGATCAAGACTTGCTCCTAAACTCTGAAATAGCCATAAGATAATGAAAATACACAGCCATAAAATCTGATAGCCTGAAGCTGCGTTATTTTTCAAAGATGAACCTGATCTCCTGATGGATTGTAAAATGTTTTTCAGTTTTATAGTTGTGTCATAACATGTGCCTTGCATAGTGTACCTACAAGAGATTTTAGAAACTTGCCACCCGTAATCACAATAGCTTGTATATACACTGAGAAATTTCTGCAAGTTTGAGGTAGAAAAGCCTCCCAACTCCCGTTTACTTTTAATGGCATTTAGACTCCTAAATTGTCCAGAAATGCACCATAACAAAAGAGAACTTGTCACTTTTTCTTTAGGTTTAATTGTGCTGTGTTCTGAAAGGTTGATGCTTTTTAGTTATTTTAGCTAATGCTGTGTATCCAGTATTTCTGCTTTCTAGGAGAATCACTGATTTTTTCCACTTTGACTTCTTTCCTCTGCGTTGTTTATCTCCAGCTCTGCTGACTTATCTCAGTTCAGGTATGTAATGCCCTGTGTATTAGGGAGAACGCAGGATATTTTAATGAAACTGAAGAAACTTCTTGAAGGTGTGGGTAAAAACTATCTATTAGCTTAAAACATAGCATTTGGATGACTCCTTAGCAGAACCTCTTTTGGTAGAAACAGCGCTTTGGCGCTCTGAGTTAACCGACCATATTGCAAACCCATGTTCTTCAC